GCGTGGAGTGGACGGAGCAAGCTCCTATTCCAACTCCTACTTCCAAAAATCCATTTAATATATTGTCCTCGGATAGAGGACGTATCAGATATTAAACTGATAAGAACAGATACTACACTTGATCTTAGCCAAAAGGCCGAGAAGCGATAACTAGCCGCTCACACCGCACCGCGGCACTCACTCGCGCGCTCACCTTCACGTCACGGTCGCCCACGCTCGCGCGCCCGCAGACACGCGCCCGACGCCGACCCTCCTGCTTTATCCGCACCACGACTCTAACTCCACGGAAAGCCCTGAGAGCTGCGTGGGCCGAGGGCTTCTCGTTGCTCTCTTCGCTCCCAGAGTTCCCGGGGAGACGCGGCCGCGTCCTCATTTGCATGCCACGCCCAGAGTGCGCAGCGACTGGAATAGCTCATAGACGAAAACCAAGAAGGAAGTAAGTGTGCTGTCTGACTCAGGTTCTTCACAATGCTTCAGGCACATTATTGAGGACCACAGGAAGTCTTTGCTCTCTCCCTCTTTCCTTCCCCCTTTTCTCTTTCTTTACCTTTGTATCTGTGCCTTGGAGCCTTTTATTTTCTTTTATCTTTTTTTTTTTTTTTGAGACAGGGTTTCTCTGCCTCCCAAGTGCTGGGATTAAAGGCGTGTGCCACCAACGCCGGGCACATAAGTGTTTCATATACCATCCTGAACTACTAGCCTAGGTTTGGCACCATCTCCAGTGAGTTGGGCACTCCCACATCAGTCGTTAATTAAGAAAATGTCCATAGACTTGCCTACCAGACAGTCTGCTAAAGACATTAAGTTTTCTCTTTCTAATCCACCCTTGTCATGTAGACAAAAACCTAAGCAGCTGAATGAGTTTGCCCAACATGCACTGGTTGGATTGTTGACGGTTGAACCTAGGGTCTTTCCTTGCTGAAATGATCTTTCACAGAGCTGCAGCCCCGCCTCCTCCTTTTCGTTCCTTGTGTATGCCAGGTGGACCTCAAACTCATTAAGCAGCCAAAAATGACCTTGGTGTTTTTGATCCTCCTACTTATACCCCCAGACTACTTCAAAGTCAGGTATGTGACATGAGGCTGGGTTTTATGTGTTGCTGGGGCTCAAATCCAGGTTTTTGTGCATGCTGGGCAACCAACAACTCTACCAGCTCTCTTTCTCTCACTCACTCACTCACACACTCACACACACACACACACACACACAAATTCCCTTCAAGGATCTCACTGCCTGTCTGCCAAGTTCTAGGATTATACTTAACAACACACTGGTGCTTTCCTCCTCATACACTAAAGTACCAGAACTTCTCGAATAGGGAGTGGGAAGAGGCTCCAGGCATCAGTCTTGGTGGTAGAGATATTCCTCCTCAAAAGTGTTTCTGTAATTTCAGTTGGGCAAAGCTTTTCACTGCATAGCCTGGGCCAGCCTGGAACACTAGGTCCTCCCATGGATGGACCAGCCTGTGGAGTTCAATACATCTGAGCCACAAAGCTCAATCCAACGTGAGTTTCAGTCTGATTTTTTTTTTTTTTTTAAAGGAACTGCGCGGCCGGGTGTGCTAGCCCACAACTTTAGAGAGAACCAGGCAGATCTGTGAGTTTGAGGCCAGCTTGATCGACATAGCAGGTTCTGGGATAGCCAGGAATAAATAGACACTGTCTCAAAATAAGGAACCCGGCTGTTGAGGCAGGCGGTCTGAGCTTCCAAGGCGACAGACTCCAGTGGAAAAAAAAGACGAACAAGGAACGAAGGGAGACAGGGGGCCGCAAAATACCCACAGAGCAGTGTTACAGCAAAGGAGCTGAAATTCCAAGGGCCCACCGTCCCTCCCTTGAGCGGATCCGAAGGTGCCTTCCCCGGGGCCGCACTCAGGCAGAGGCCGCACTCAGGGAGGGCACCCGCCCCCCGCCCCGTCCCCTTCCTTCCCCTCCCCTCCGTCGCGGACCAGACGAGACGCCCAATGGACTAGATGTAAAGGCGGGAGGTAGTGTGGTGGTGTTGGTGTCGGGACCCTCTGGAAGGTGAATACTGACAATTCTGTGAAAGATTGCGAAGAGGAACCGGCCAGAAAGGCGGGCGCGGCGGCGCGGTGCAGCGCAGAGACGGAGGCGCAGACGGAACGCGCTGGGCGTGGTATGCAAATGAGGACGCGGCCGCGTCTCCCCGGGAACTCTGGGAGCGAAGAGAGCAACGAGAAGCCCTCGGCCCACGCAGCTCTCAGGGCTTTCCGTGGAGTTAGAGTCGTGGTGCGGATAAAGCAGGAGGGTCGGCGTCGGGCGCGTGTCTGCGGGCGCGCGAGCGTGGGCGACCGTGACGTGAAGGTGAGCGCGCGGGTGAGTGCCGCGGTGCGGTGTGAGCGGCTAGTTATCGCTTCTCGGCCTTTTGGCTAAGATCAAGTGTAGTATCTGTTCTTATCAGTTTAATATCTGATACGTCCTCTATCCGAGGACAATATATTAAATGGATTTTTGGAAGTAGGAGTTGGAATAGGAGCTTGCTCCGTCCACTCCACGCATCGACCTGGTATTGCAGTACCTCCAGGATCGGTGCACCCCTCCGGGGGATCTCTAACACTGGTTTAAATAGAAGATGCACTCGTTTATTTGTGCCGATTATCCCTTTCTCTTTGGTAGTCTGACCGGATTATATTACACGCATGATTGAGACACATACACTGACTCAGGAAAACTGAACAGGCAAGGACTTCGAAAGGCAAGAAGCACAGTGTATGCATGCCACAAACTTGTCTAAAGAGGTGTATATTCATTCAACTTTCACATAACCAGAAAAGTTCGCAGAAGACAAAAAGGCCGAAGAGTTGGTAAAGAAGAGCATTTTCTTCTTGGGTTCAATGCTCTTCATCAACCCAAGCACAAAGGAAAAGTGTCCACTGTGCAGGCAAACACTCCAAAACCTGGCGATGGTGGTGCACACGCCTTTCTTTATTTAGCAGGGGGAATCTCTGTAATTCCAAGGACAGCCTGCCTGTTCTATGGAGCAGGCCCAAAAGAGACCGTCTCAAAACAAGCCGGGTGGTGGTGCTTGCCTTTAATCCCAGCACTCGGGAGGCATAGGTGAGAAAGAGTTCGAGGCCAGATTGTCTCCAGAACGAGTTCCAAGACAAGCTACAGAGCTACACAGAGAAACCTTGTCTTAAAACATTAAGAGCCCCCCCCCAAAAAAAAGCACGATAAATATACAAAAAGCAAACACAAAACAAACAATTGCCAAGTAGGTTTAGGATATTCCAGATTGTTAACAACACGGTGTCCTTGCTTATGCCTTTAATCTCCTAGGCAGGTGAATTTGAGTTCCAGGTCAGCCTGGTTTACACAGGTACATTCCAGGACCACAAAAAATAAATAAATAAATAAATAAATAAATAAATAAAAAAATAAAAAAAAAATCCTTATGACTTAAGAAAAAACCGGGTAGAGAAAACCGTAAAAGAGTTGAGGAAAAATACCAATCCATGAGTGCCTGATCAAAACTGTATTTAGAACTGGCCATCCAATCCCTCCCCCAACCCTCACGTCCCTTTTATGGGGAAAGATTAGGATTAATAGAAGTGCATATAATTGTTTTAGCTACAGGACAGAAAAGGCTGCCTGTGGAGTTGGTAAGCTGCTGCCGGGATAATTGACAGTTAAACTGAGGTAATAAAAAGTGCGATAATTTATGTAGAAGGGGAGGAATCCAAAGTATTTGGGAAGACGTTTTCCTGAAGCAAAAGGGCAATAATACTACTTCACAGGTCAGAAGTTTACAAAGGCAAAAGGGTGGAAATTGTATGGTTTGCTTAAGACACGGAAACTTAATGTTGTGAGGTATAGAGACTAACAATGTGGTTCTAATTCGGTTTCACAACGGAGAGACAGTGTCTTGGCTCAAAAGAATCAGTATTCAGTATTGAGAAAATTATCATTCTACCAAAAGCAATTTAAAGATTCAGGTCAATCCCAAAAAAAGCTAATGACTCGTCATAGATTTTGGGGAAGAGGGGTTGCCTTAAAGTATATATAAAGCATATATAAAAATCATAAAAGATCCTGGAAAGCCAAAGCAATCCTGATCAAAAATATTGCTGGAGTTACTTACACATGGTTTCAAGTTATACTCACAATAAAAAACAGGAAAAAGACACATGGGCCAATGGAATTAAAGGAGCAAGATAGAAGACCACATAGTCCTGTGGTTTTTAACAAGAAATACACATTGGAGAAAGAAGTGGTCCAAGATTGTCTACGACATACAAAAATAATGAGTAGATAGATAGATTCTAATCTCTTACGACATACAAAAAATAAACTTCAACTGACCTCAGGAAAATAATTAAACCTTCAGAGGCCCTGAGTTCAATTCAAAACTATCCGATACCCTCTTCTGGCAGGCATTATACATACATAAAACCTCAAACTGCCATAGGTAAAAAGCAGGGAAGAACACATCAATCAATAAGTACAGTGAACAATGAAACACAGGAAAGTCCTGTGGTGCCGACACAGGCTCCCACTGAGGCAGGCGGAATTCTGAGTTTATCAGCCTTGATGAAAGAAAACTGGATACAAGAAACATATAAAGACACCACTGTACTATAAAACTACCCACTTCCATGAAAGCAAATGAAAACCTTATTATGTATATCCTGCCTGGCAAGGAACTTTGGGCCCAAGATTTGCTCCCTAGCTCCGAGTTCAATTTGAATCGTGAAAACTAATTTGGTCAGAACCGCTTTAAAATAAACCCACATTCCTGATACTTTTTACCCAAATAGAAGGGAATGCCCAAGGATAGGACTCTTTCTTTTAGAACAGTATTAGAGATCCCCCGGAGGGGTGCACCGTTCCTGGAGGTACTGCAATACCAGGTCGATGCGTGGAGTGGACGGAGCAAGCTCCTATTCCAACTCCTACTTCCAAAAATCCATTTAATATATTGTCCTCGGATAGAGGACGTATCAGATATTAAACTGATAAGAACAGATACTACACTTGATCTTAGCCAAAAGGCCGAGAAGCGATAACTAGCCGCTCACACCGCACCGCGGCACTCACCCGCGCGCTCACCTTCACATCACGGTCGCCCACGCTCGCGCGCCCGCAGACACGCGCCCGACGCCGACCCTCCTGCTTTATCCGCACCACGACTCTAACTCCACGGAAAGCCCTGAGAGCTGCGTGGGCCGAGGGCTTCTCGTTGCTCTCTTCGCTCCCAGAGTTCCCGGGGAGACGCGGCCGCGTCCTCATTTGCATGCCCCCGCCCAGCGCGTTCCGTCTGCGCCTCCGTCTCTGCGCTGCACCGCGCCCGCCTTTCTGGCCGGTTCCTCTTCGCAATCTTTCACAGAATTGTCAGTATTCACCTTCCAGAGGGTCCCGACACCAACACCACCACACTACACCTCCCGCCTTTACATCTAGTCCATTGGGCGTCTCGTCTGGTCCGCGACGGAGGGGAGGGGAAGGAAGGGGACGGGGCGGGGGGCGGGTGCCCTCCCTGAGTGCGGCCTCTGCCTGAGTGCGGCCCCGGGGAAGGCACCTTCGGATCCGCTCAAGGGAGGGACGGTGGGCCCTTGGAATTTCAGCTCCTTTGCTGTAACACTGCTCTGTGGGTATTTTGCGGCCCCCTGTCTCCCTTCGTTCCTTGTTCGTCTTTTTTTTCCACTGGAGTCTGTCGCCTTGGAAGCTCAGACCGGAAATATTCGGTGATCCTCCTGCCTCACAGTAAATCAGACTTTCACATATCTTTAACACCACCACTTGGGAGCCAAACACAGGCGGATCTCTTAATTCCAGGCCAATCTAGTTTACAAAGTGGGTTTCCAGGACAGCCTAGGCTAACACAGAAACTTTGTTTCGAAAAGCAAAAAATAAACTATCCAAGGGGGGAGGGGCTAAACAGAATAACCACCACTCCACAGTGGATAGAAGTTTATGCCTGGGGGGGGGGGCGGAGTGGGGTAGGGCTGGAGAGATGGCTCAGGGTTAACATCAGCTGCTCTTCCAGAGGTCCGGAGTTCTTATTCCCAGCAACCACATGGTGGTTCACAACCATCTGTAATGGTATCTGGTGTGCCCTCTTCTGCAGCCATACGTACTATATACCAAATAAATACATAAATCTTTAAAAAAAAAAAAATCGTGCCTGTAATCCCAGCATTAAGGAGGCAGAGGCAGGCGCGATCTCTTCAGGAGTTGGGAACCAGAATAGTCTATATAGTGAGTTACAGGCCAACCAAGGGCTACATAGTGAGGTTCTCAAAAGAGAAACCTCACAAAGGAAAGGAAAGGAGCACCTTAGGGCAGTGGGTCCTACAGGGGCAACTTTTAGGTTTCTTGACAGGAACAGCTAGGGCACTGAGGCTTCATGTTTTCCAGCGTGAAGAGAGTGAACCTACCCCACTAACTTTCCATTGACCTTCAAACCAGGCATTAGAGTGCCCACTTTCACACACCACACTCATAAGTGCACAATAATAATAAGCGAAGCCAGGTGCTGGAGAGATGGCTCAATGATTAGTAGCACTGACTGCTTTTCCAGAGTTCTATTCCCAGCGACCATAGCAAGAGGGCTCACAACCAGCCATAATGAGGTCTGGCGCCCTTTTTTTTCAAAAAAAAAAAAAAAAAAAAAAAAAAAGAAAAAAGCTTATTTAAAAAAATAAGCAAAACCTTAATTTAGAAAAAAAAAAAAATCAACCTAGCAGTGTTGGTGCGCATCTTTAATCCTAGCACCTGGGAGGCAGAGGCTGGTGGAACTCTGCCAGTTCAAGGACACAGAGAAACCCTGTCTCCAAAACCAAAAATAACAAAAACTCCGAAAACCAGAGCTGGGCATATTTGACTCACACCTATAATCCAAGCACGCAGGAGATATAGGCCAGCCAGAGTTATTAGGGAGTTCTAGGCTATCCATGAATACCCAGCAAGATAGTCTCAAACAACAAAAACAATTATTTAAAAAACAACAAGAACAAAAAACAAAACAACCAAAACCCAGCAAATTCTGTCAAGAAGGCAGACAAAAGGTGGTTCTTATATACAGTGCTGGTACAACTACAAACCAGTCTAGCTCCCATGGAGGTCAACATTGTGGTTTCTCCAAACGAACAATATATTTCCACACAGTACAGCTATACTGTATTTACCTCAAGGACTCCAAGTCAACATATCACAGACACTTTCAAAATCTGTTACAGTCCATGCCTAGTAGTAGTTATGGATCTGTCCCCAGTGTCCAAAACCAGGAATGGATAAAGAAAATGTGTTATATATACAATGCAACTATTTTCAGCTATAAAAAAAAAATCACATTAAGTGAATTAAACCACTCAGGTACTTCCTCTTTACCTATGCTTCCCAGGTTTTATACAGAAGAACAGGAGTGCGGATAGAGCTGAGAAAAGGAGATATATGTTAAACACGCAACAGATGCATACATGCACAAAAGCTAAAACACACATATTAGGGGGAGCCAGACATAGCGGTTGTTGTGTGATAAAAACGTTCTCTGGGGAGGCACAACACGTAACTTCTCACCCAGAAGGGATCCCAGAACAGACCAATGTATCGATACCACAAAAGTTCAAGACAGTTTCTCTGTGTAGCTGTGGCTGTCCTGAACCATGAATTTATTGGAGTTCCTTACAGGAAGATGGGTGAGGGGTTACTTACAGGAATAGAAATGACTCAAAGACACATCATCCCAAGGACCACCCCGGCATGGTTGAGAGCTCACAAAGGCTGGAACCTGGAGCAGCGTGCACTGATTTCAGGCAGCTCAACAGGTGGGACTAACTCTGTTCCAGGCAGTGTTTCGTCTGCCAGTCTTAGCAGCACAGCTTTACTTTGTGAGGACTCAACTATTTTTCTGTTTACTCGGGCAAGGGGGAGGGGGGAATCTGGTCAGTTTCAGGGACTTCCTGAAGCTATTTTGAGTTGTTTACCTTCCTGCTTAAGGAGCTTCCTGCAAGATGCAATGTTTTAATCTTAGAGGAAACTGTTACACAAGTGTTGTACTCCTGGAAGTTTGGGAAATGAAGCCTAGAAAATTGTGAATTTGGGGGCCAGGCTAGGCAACAGTTTTCAGGACACATTGATCTGAAGAGTTCAAGGCTATAGAAGGAGATTGTCTTGCAGTATCCTGGTTAACTAGAGCAAAACAAGCTTTTGTTTACAGAATCTAAATCGGCAGTTAACCCTGTGACCTATTATCTTGCATAAACAAGACTAGGCAATTACAAAAACAGCCGTTATCAATCCTAACATTTCTTAGGTCTAATTTTGCTTTATGACTCTCATGAGCACAGTAGTGCTAAACTTTTGAACATAAAGCTAGACACCAACATAACACCTGCCACCACAAGTTATAGAGCATTTACTTATTATGTGAAAAATCCTAAATTGGATCTTATGAACGAAAATCCCTAGAAAGAAGCTTATGTCTGGCTATGAACATAAAACTCCCGAAGGAGTCTGTGCCTATAAAGAGTGGAGTTTCAGTACCTGTGTAGGTTCAGAGCCCAATTATCTTGGGCTAGTTTTAGCCTCTGGGACAGTCATGACTTGCCCCACAAGTATCTTAACTAACACCCTGGTGTGATAATAAAACCTTAGGCACTAATAACTTAGCAGAACACAAGCTCCCATCAACCTAAGAGCTAAGATGATCAACAGATAGCATCCCAGGCCTGTAAAATAGCTCTATCTCTCTGTATCTGCCTCTTGGGGGTACACACCAATGTATTTTGTTTTTATTTAAAAAAATTTTTTTTTTCCAGCAAGGCAGTGGTGGTGCATGCCTTTAACCCCAGCACTCTGGAGGCAGAGGCAAACACATTTCTGAGTTCAAGGCCAGTCTATCTACAACACTACACAGAGAAACCATGTCTGGGGGTTGGGGATTTAGCTCAGTGGTAGAGCGCTTGCCTAGCAAGTGCAAGGGTTTTTCTTTCTCGTTTTTATATACCAACTGTAAGGGTCCAGGCATTACTCTGGTCAGCCCAGGGTTCCATGAATACTAATTTGCAGGCAGGTGTAAAGAACCCCTTTAAAAGTCAGGCCCCTGCCCACTTGGCTCTCTTTTGCCTTCCGGTTGCCCCCTCACCCTCCCCCCCTCGGTTGCCCCCTCCCCCTCCCCCCCTCTTTCGGTACTACACGTGGGCGCATTGAGTCTTGTTTCATTAGCTCCAGCAAAATAACACCACCAACCCCAGTTCCTTCCCCTTCTCCTGCCCCTTCCCACCCCCGCCCCCTCCTCAGAGGGGGTAAGTCCTCCCTTCGGGAGTCAACAAGTCTAGCAAAGTTGAGGTGAGACCAAGCCCCTCCCCCGTCACACCAATGCATTTTAAAAATTGCCTTGATTTATGATTTTCTTTATTCTGTAAAACTATAAAAACCTCAGGAAACTGCTTTCACATTGGAGCATGGAATTTGGGGGAACCTAAATCTGTTCCTGGGTCATGGTCACACAATGTTGAGGGGAACCCCAGAGCAAAGCTAGCATCTTAACAGCCATCTTTCCCATTACTCTCTTAGATAATAACATACTGGTAATTTTCCGTTCCCCTATGATTGTTTTGTTAAGCATATGATGCAGCCTGGCCCTTTAAGAGTCCCAGCTGCATGCTTATCATATAGCAACTTCTCTTGTAGCAGAACATCTGCATTCTGCTTGGAAGGACTTAATGCCTCCCTCTGGCCCATTCCCTCATTTCTCCACTACTTAAACCCTGTGGTTACATTCATTAACCGAGACTTGATCAGAATACTGTCTTGTCTCATGTCCTCCCTCCTTCAGGGACTGACCCCTGAGGGCCGGGGCACAATGGCTCCAGAATAAACTGTCTCTTATTCTCTTTAAGATGAGACCTGAGGTTTTACAATGTCTAGGGGGACACTCTCAGGGTGAACAGGGGATTAAATGCCGTTGAAGGGACCAGACCCTTACTCAGCCCCCTGACTGGCAGCCATGACAGGCTGCAGAAAAGACTTAGCAAGACAAGGGCCCCTGACTCAGCAACATGAGCTGAGCTCCCGACCTTGCTAGACCTTGTAGTCACTAGTCACATATCCTCCATGTGCCAAGGAACTAATCGGAAGTTATTTGGCAGGCTCTGGACCGCAGAACATAGCGACTGCCCCTGGGAGGGACTGGAGGTGTAGCAATCTTTCTGCTGCTGTAGCTGACCAATCAACTCAGGATGGTTGCCTGAGCTCCAAAGTGCACCAATCCTGAGACTGTTGTAGACCCCAGCCCTCCCCTTGTTCTACCCCTACATATCCCCTCCTCCAATACTGCTTGACGTGTCCCCCCCCCTTCGCCTGCTTCACCCACTGTTTCGGATGGACAGGGGAACCGAGTTAAAGTCTCTTTGCTTTTGCACCGGACTGGGTCTCTTGCTGACTCTGGGGTTCAGAGTTTGGACACAACACTGTAACATGAAAAATAAGGACCTAGAGACTGATATTAGGGTTCAAGCCTCAAGCTGAAGATCAGAAAAGCAAAGCATCCTGCCACTAGCTTCTTATTCCACTGTTGCTGGAATTTCTTTTTCTTTTGAGACAGGGTTTCTCTGTGAAAGACCCCCAAGATACCCCAAGAGTTCGGAGCCTGTCAGGGGGAAGGCCCTTGCCCCCAAGAGATGAGACCGGACCACTGGATGCAAGTGCAAGAGGTTATTTATTGTTTACACAGGTACCTGTGGACGCTTCAGTCTTTCGGGGGACTGAGCGTGCCGAGGTTAAAACTCAGGCGGTTTATATAGGGTTGGGGTAGCAAGAAGCAGGCTTTACAGAAGCATGGTTACAGGGATTTCATTGGTCCATTCAATTAAGGCAATTGGGGTTAACCAAGGACAGAGTTGCTTATTCGGGTTGGGCACAAAGAATACAAAGAATTCAGTTATGACTATCTCAGCATTCTGGTGGTCTTGATAGAATGCTCCCAGGACCTTCTGTTCCCAGATATCGTCCTGCTGACCTTGCTTTGGTCCAAGCTGCAGACCACAGATATCTGGTTGGCGTTGGATGAGAGCAGCACCTGGTTCCCTCCTGTACTTTTCCCATAATTTGACCTTGGCAAATTGACAAGAGCAGTTCAAACAGGCAATATGCATAGTGGGGGTCTTTCATCTGTATTGTTTTCAAGTCTGTCCTGCACTCGCTCTGTAGACCAAGCTGGCCTTGAACTCCAGAGACCCAGTTGCCTCTGCCTCCCGAGTGCTGGGATTAAAGGCATGCGCCAGCAGTGCCTGACTGTTGCTGGAATTTCTTGTCTCGCTAAGTCCTACCACGCTTCTCAGCTCCAAATAACATCTTTGTTGGCTGACGGTGAGGGCTTCTCATCGGCTAGCTCTGTCTTCAGTATTAACCGGTTTCTATTAATCTAAGTATTTCCACATGGTCTTACCTTACTGCAGAAGGGTTTGTTACTCCTTCCTCTGCTACATGGCACCCCTTCCCTTCCCTCATCTTCTGCCTACCATTCCCAGAAGTCCCCTCCTAGTCCCGCCTATCTTCCTGCCTCTATTGGCCAATGTTTTATTCATCAACCAATAAGAGAAACCTATATACAGAAGGACTTCCCCCATCACTCTACCTCAGACTGAAAGACGGTCCTGGCTCCACCAAAACTCAGACTGAAGCCTCCCCTCAGTGTGGCTGGGAATCTTGAGACTTCAATGTCTTACTATTGTCTATGTGGCTGGAGACTGAATGCCAGCTCTGAGACCTTGCTCCTGTCTTATCCCCTAATGCTGGAATTAAAGGCTTGTGGTCCCAGGTGCTGGGATCAAAGGCTTGAGCTCTGTTACTCTGCACTCTTTGTGTAGGCAGGCCATGGTGGCCTTGAACTAACAGAAATCCATCTACCTCTTAATTCTGAATCCTGGGATTAAAGGTGTGTACCTGGCTTCCATGATGTGTGGCTGATTTTGTTTTCTGAATCCTCAGGCAAGCTTTAATCATAAACAATATGTCACCATTGAATGCAATCAGAACAGTAGCACACACTTGTAAGGAGAGGCAGCAGGATTCTTGCAAGTTCATCCTTGCTCTGAGGAGTCGGAAGCCAGGGTTTTTAGCACGTGCCCTTCCCCTTCTCACGAACTTACCCTTTCCTAATAAACCGTCTTATATATCCCTCAAAAGGGGAAGAATGTGAGACCAGCCCAGGATGTCCTGGGCCATTCAGAGATCCACCAGTCTGACCAAGAACAACTTCTCACCAACAGGAGGTTTACTCAGACACTAGCTCCAGGCCAATAGCAGGACTCGGGACTCCCAAATGCAGTGCCAAGCCACCTCAACCAGAGGGTTATAAAGACAAAGAGCACAAACTCACATCCTGTCCATGTGCAAGCTTTTGTTTAACAGAATCAGAAATAGCGGGTGACCTTATGACCTTGCATAAACAACAGTTTTTGTTAAAACTGTAGACCAGACAATTGCAAAACAAACGAACAAACAAGCAAATCAACCCTGAAAAGCCTTAAACATTTGGAAGTCCATTTTTGCTTTATAGTTTTCTTAAGCACAGCAATTTCGATCGGGTCAGCTGGCTCACAACTGCCTATAAATCCAGCCCTGGGAATTTGATGCTGTCTTCTGGCCTTGTTAGGCACAAGTGCAAAGCTTCTACACCCGAGTAAGCCTCTCCGTCAATGCAGCAATTCAAGTCAGACTCAGTTGAACTGAATTGGAAAAAGCCCACGTTTAATGGGCTCCCCAGAGAGAAGACGGGAAAGGGAGACTGGAAAAACCAGGAGTCTGTTCTCTGGGGGGCAGTTTAAATACCCTGTGGGAGTGGTCTTGAGCATCTCCGGGGAGGAGCCATTATTTGACAGGCAAGTTCTGGGCCTCACATTTGGATGTTCGAGGATGCCAGCGGCCCGCTGACCAGAAACGTAGAACTTCCTGAGAAAGTCAGACGGCAGGGCCTCTCACAGCCAGGAGTGTTATGCGGTTCTTACAGCTTCGGTTCCTCCTCTTCCAAGCTGAAATCCGAGAGACATTCTTCCTCCCTTTGGCTGGACTGATCCCATGGAAGGCAGCTGACCTGCAGGGTGAAGGTCAGGGTGGTGGCGCATATGCACTGCAGTGGTTACTCCAGGGTTGCTACCCTGTAACCGCTCTCCATTGGGTACCATGGTTCCCGAATCACCACTGCTTGGCTGAGCCAGGACAGACTCTGTGATTACTCCTAAACTTCTGCAGACGGATTTGGGGTGGGTAATTCATCCAGAAGTTTGTATCAAAGTGGAGAGCCCTTCCACTGGCCTGGGAAAACACCCGCATCCCACATTGACTCACAAACATGGCTAGCACTTCACAGAGACCCACCTCAGACACCACACAGGGAAGAGGCCTAGCTGTCTTCTTTTCAGTTTTATAATCATGCCTTCGTCTTGGGTGGGGCTGGAGAGATGGCTCAGCAGTTACCAGTATGCACCTGCTCTTCCAGAGGTCCTGAGTTCAGTCTCCAGGACCCACATGGTGTGACTCACAACCACTTGTTACTCTGGCTCCAATGGATTTGAAGCCTCTGGCTTCCTTACACATCTGCCCTCCGGTGCACATAACCAAACATACCTGTGTCCTGACACAGCTGGGCACATAGTGCTGGTTTTATTTATTTATTGGTTTTCTGAAACCTTTGGAGCCTGTCCTGGAACTAGCTCTGTAGACCAGGCTGGCATCGAACTCACAGAGATCTGCCTGCCTCTGCCTCCTGAGTACTGGAATTAAGGGTGTGTGCCACAACACAGGGCAAAAGCTAGACTTCTTGAAAGTGAAAAATGTTACTGGGTTATAGTTCATTTAGTAGTATGCTTGCTTAGTATCTTAGTCACTGGTCTATTGCTGTGAAGAGATATCAAGGCAACTCCTTTTTTTTTTGTTTGTTTGTTTTGCTTTTCAAGACAGGGTTAATTACTCTTTGTACTTGCTGTGTAGACCAGGCTGGCCTCAAACTCAGAAGTCAGAGATTTACTTGCCTCTGCCTCCTGAGTGCTGGGACCAAAGGCATGTGCCTCCACTGCCTGGCACCAACCCAACTCTTAAAAAAGAAAGCATTTAGGCTGGGCAGTGGTGGTACATGCCTTTAATCCCAGCATTCAGGAGGCAGAGGAAGAAGCAGGCAGATGTCTGTGAGTTTGAGACCAGCCTGGTCTACACAGTGAGTTCCAGGACAGCCAAGACTGTTATACAGAGAAACTACTTCTGGGGGGGGGGAATCAAAAACAAAACAACATTGTGGGGCATGGTGGCACAAGCCTTAATCTCAGCACTTGGGAAGCAGATGTGGGTGGATTTCTGTGAGATCCAGGTTAGCCTGGGCTACAGAGCAAGTTCCAGAACAGCCAGGTTAACAAAACAAAAAGAAGTTTCCTTAATTGGTTTTGAGACGGAGTAGGCAAGGAATTAGAAGAGGTTACCAAGGAAACTGCAGCTATGTAGCTATGTCTCCTTCTTAGACAGGGAGTTAGTGGATGGAGGGAAAAAAAAAAAAAAAAAAAACAAAACCACAAAACTGCAGTGGACCTTGGGACCTTTTCTTCCTAGTGTGCAGAGCACCTCTTTATGAGGAGCATCCTTGACATTCTTCTGGCTACATAAAGATAGCCCATTTGCCCAACTGCCATTTATATTCCTCTTACCAGCAGAGGGTCTGTGACTCAGAAGATACAAGCTTCAATGTAACATCACTTGCATTGTGCTAACATAAATGCACACACACATACCCATGCACATACCCACGCACTCACATGCACACGTGCATGCACACACACACTGACCCACAATGATTTAGTAGGGAAAGCTTTCTAATATCATTCTTCCTAACTATTGTTCTACTACCCACCTCACAAACATTCACAAAGCCTGTCAAAAATCCACAACACACAGCCCCCAGTACGTCAGTGGGTAAAGGAACCTGCCACACAGGATTGGCAACCTGAGTGCTTCAAGGAACCCAAGTAAAAAGGTTGCAGGACAAAACTGACTTTACAATGAACTCTACATGCTCGAAATGGCAATCACGGGAGTCTCTCTTTGTCTCTCTCTCTCTCTCTCTCTCAGGCATAGCTGGTAACAGTAAAAGAATGGACAACACATGCCAAGGACTACTATCCTCACTTTGGGGCAGCCCACCCTAAGCTCTGCCTTGTTGACCAAGCTTCTGTTTGCACCATGTCTCCACTGAATTCCTTCCAGCAAGAAGACAGAGCCAGGGAGAAACACTTGTCCAGGAAATCCCTGTTTTAAAGCTGAACTAAACCATTGCTTTCCATGGAGGAACTTCACTTTTTGAGAGGACAACCACTCTACCTGTTCAAAGCAAATCACTTCAAAGTTCTGGGGTACAATCAGTAATCAAAAAAATCCCTAAATGACGCTCCCATGAGACGGAACACATTTTGGCCACTCTGCTTTAAATGTATCTTCTATGTAATAGTGACTGTTTCCTTGAAATGACTTTGGCAACTTACTTTCTGATTAAGACATTTGTATACCTGATTTATATAAAGGTCTTTGGCAAAAATTGTACAGGAAGGTCTTCTGCTGGAGAGAAGGGGAAATGTAGAGGTCTAAATAACACTGTATTAATGTATCACTGAACTGCCCTGTTCTGTGTGCTCTTGGGACTCCTGGAGGAAGTTCTGGAAAGATCGCTGCTCAGATCGCCTGGCTTCCTGGAGCAGGGACTCCCACCTGTCTTGGGGTCATAGTCCTCGTCGGGCTCTCAGCCACCCCAGTTCCCTTCCAACTCCACACAAGGGCAGAGGCCAGGGCTAGGCGTTCAGGAAGAGCCCCCCAAATTGCCTGTACTTCCAAAGTTTGCACTTCCTTGAGAATGCCGCATAGTGCAGTCTCCCAGATTCTGCTGGCTGCTTCGGCCTTGGCTACCCCAGCTATGGAAACCTGGAGCTTCGGGCCCCACATACCTGGATTAGGCCCCTCAGATCTTCACTTGCAGGATCTATGGACTCTGCACTGGGTCTGTACTCCACCGCGACCTTGCCACTTTCTGAAAGGGAGAGGATCACAGAGTTTTTCCTTGTTCTTGAACTTCCTACATCCAACAGCCACACCCAATGAGCTCTTAGTTTCTAAAAGCTAGAGGAGGGCACGTCTCTAGAAATGTCGTATGTCACACTGCAGTTATCAATAGAACCATCTGCTTAAAGAATATATGAGCAGGGCCATGCATGGCAGTGTGCCCGGCAGACACAGGCAGGTGGGTCTCTGAGAGTTCCAGGCCAGCCTGGTTTACATAGTGAGTTCCAGACCATACGGGGCTATAGAGAGACCCTATCTCTCTCACCAAAAAAAGAAAGTATAAGATATCAAGTATGTTTAGTTCGAACAACTTTGGTATCTTTGTAAAAAAAATATTTGTTATGTATATAGTGTTCTACCTACGGGTATGCCTATGGGCCAGAAGAGAATACCAGATCTCATTGTAGATGGTTGTGAGCCACCATGTGTTTGCTGAGGAGCCGGTGCTCTTAACCACTGAGCAATCTCTCCAGCCCCACAACTTTGGTTTCTTAAGAGGCAGGACTAAGTGTAGTGAGATAGTCCTTCTGTGGCACTGACCACGCCCATTGGGGGTGGAGCCATGGGCGGAAGTGACCTGTGGAAGGAGGTTGGAGGGGGCGAGGAAAGGCGCTCTCTTTCTGGTGTGACTCGGACAGGAGAGGATCGGGTTGAATTTCCTGGTGTTCATCTGTCTAGGTTGTAAGTTATTTCTCCCTGAATAAACATCTATTCGGCCTATTTGTTTATCCTGATCCTTATTTACCGCAATAACTAAGGGATAGCAAGAAAGTGGAAATAAAAATGTTCAAATGGCTGAAGATTGAGGTATAGGTGGAAGGCAAAGGGAATTCAAACCTAGCATAGAGAGCACTAGATTAGAAGCAAGAGTCAATTTTCTACTCCTCAAGAAATGAACTTCCACAAAATACAAAAATGTTTCACATTTGTAGCCTCCCACTGGTAGAAACTGGCCCTCTTACATATACAATACAGCACTCCTCACATCCAGCCACACACAAAGGCTTCTGGTCTAAGGGGTTCTGAGTTTATATAAGGAATATAGCAGATTAGAGAGACAGAAAGAACTTAGGTACTTAGCCTGGTTCTTTTGTTTATTATGTTCATTTTATGTGCATTAGTGCTTTCTTTGCATGTATGTCTGTGTGAGGCTGTCAGATCCCCTGCAACTGGAGTTACATACAGATGGTTGTGAGCTGTCATGTGGGTGCTGGGAATTGAATTCAGATTCGCTGGAAGAGCAACCATTGGGCTATCTCTCCAGCTCCTGAGCCTAGTTCTTAAAGGTGACCACTCGGAGCTGACAGTTGCTGGCAATCCTAACTAATGACCATGGCAGTCATACTTTGACAAGAAGGCTGGCTGGATCACAGGGCTGAGGCCAACTGGACTCACCTCTTACATGCACAGAAAAGCCTCGATGCAGGGAATCTCAGTTGCTAAGCTGTCAGGGTTATGAAACAAGAAAGCAATCCTTTTGGAGACTTGTTGCTAAATCCCAAAAGGTCACCAGTGTCAACCTCAATGGGAACATGATGCCAACACCAGCATCACGGCCACAGCCAACACTTCCAAGAAAGAAAGCAGCTGATGATTCCCTACCATGCCCGTCCCATACGTCAGCATCACAAGTGAAAAAATGAGCCAAACACTTCATATTTGAGGCAGGTCTCACTATGTAGCATAGGCTGGCCTCGAACTCATGATCTTCCTGCTTTGCACCCTTAAGTGTTCTAAGATCAAGGGCATGTACCACCATGCACAGAAAAAGATAAATTCTCTTCTATTTTCTATTTAAGATTTACTCATTTTATTACTTTTAGGTTATGTCTATGTATGTGCTTACGTGTCTGTTGTTGAGCCATCTGATGTGGGCACTGGGAACTAAACTTGGGTCCTCTGGAGAAGGGGTGGTGTGTGTGTGTGTGTGTGTGTGTATTCTTCACTGTTGAGTTGTCTCCTTCCTCATCATCAAGATTAATTTTTAAAACTTTTCTGTGTGTCAGTGGCCACATACTTACAGCACAAAAACTCTTGACTCAACAACTCACTTTTTAAGAGAGAAGTGAACAGAGATTATTAACAGATTTGTGGCCTTTCACATAAGCAGAGCCGGTGCTTTTTCACAATCTCGGTATTTCATTTACTTTTATGATGTCCCTTAGAGGTAAGAAGATCCTCTAGCCTGTTTTGCAGATGAGAAGGCAGCTTAGTAAGTCTACAGGTCACTAAGAAAAGAAAATCAGTACACAAACCCAGAAGTCAAAGCTCATAAACCCTATTAGTGACAGGCAAGCAAGAGAGAAATGGCCACAGTGATGAGGTAAGCCCTTTGACACCTATACCTAAGGAACTAGAGTGTTTGCTGTCACTTTCCTCATAAACGTGACGAGAAACAAATCCGAGCTCACTGCCATGGAAGAGTTCCATCACTGAAAGTGACAGACAGCAACACTTTCATACTGTTTATGTTTTGTTTGTTTGGTTGTTGATTTTTTTTTTTTTTCCGAGACAGGGTTTCTCTGTGGCTTTGGAGGCTGTCTTGGTCTTGTAGACCATGCTGGTCTCGAACTCACAGAGATCTGCTTGCCTCTGCCTCCAGAGTACTAGGATCAAAGGCGTGTGCCACCAACGCCTAGCTCCATACTGTTTATGTTTTAAAATGAACTTTCGGCTCATGGAGAGTCGAGCACTTTGGATAATCTAGAAAGGCTCACCCAGAACCACAATGGCCAGCTTCTGGAAGGCATCTGACAAAGCACTCTGGACCACAAGCTTCTGAGCTGTCTTCCTCTTCATCAGAAATGATGATTCTCCTGGAGCCAACCAAACAGATGAATTTCAATTACCTGAATGGGAATGAGAGGCTCCGTGTTTGCTGTAGAAGCATGAGGACCAGTGTTTGGATACAGTACGCAAGTAATAGCTAGGCATGACCCTGTGCATATCTACAATCCCAGCAGTGAGTCAGGCAGAGTGGGGGATGGGTGGGGCTGTTATTTTCAAGCTGACCAAAAAGAAAGACAAGCTCCAGCTTCAGGGAGAGACCTTGCCTAAAATGAATAAAGAGAAGAATACACCCAACATCCTCTTCTGGTTTTTGCGCTTACACACATAGGCCTACCCACTTTCTGTGCACACACACACATTTACATACACTACACACAAAAACACCATACACACAAAATAAAAAAATAAATATATACTTATATGGATAGCAATTATTCTTTGTTTAAAAAGAAAATGCATTTATGATTCAGTCTCAGATCATTATTTGAGCAACCACAGGTATGCATAGCACAAGCAACTGGCTGAACGGCTCTGCTGACGGCACGTAACCATAGGGCCCATTATTTTGTAGGTGCAGTGTACTGTGAAGTTCCTTATGTAGTAATTATGGGATCCAAATGAGGAACAGGTACAAGGCTCCTATCACTGGCCAATTTCAAACTGAGTTTTCCCTGCTGCAGCTCAGGGCTGGATTCACTCCAAACCAGGTCAGGTGATACTGATGATACCTATCCAGCAGCCTCTGGCTCTGCAGTGACACCTAAAGTGGGTGCTGAGAATGCAATGCAGGTCCTTTGCAAGAACAGTGCTCCTGCACTGAGCCATTTCTCCTGCCCTCTGCAAGAACAGTGCTCCTGCACTGAGCCATTTCTCCTGCCCTCCAGTTGGGCTCTGCTGAGATAACTGAAAGCACAGATAAAGGACTCTGACCAATTATCTCAACACAGAGCAAGTCCTCAATAAAAAACCAGAGACACATGATTTCCTGCCTCCCCTAAGCCTCTGGGAAGGAGGGCAGTTTTCTTGAAAATGTGAAGATTTGGGCAGGCATGTACTTAAGTGAAACTCTATATTAGAAGGCATAAAAATTCTGCCTAGGGCTTCAGTAGTTTAGCAATGGAAGGGCCTGACTACTCGCTGACAGAAGAGTGGAGAGAAGGAAGAAAAGACACATGGACAGACAGACATATGATATATCCGCTCCTGCTGCCTCCCTGCACCAAGGACAGACCTTCCTCCTGTTGCTGGTGCAAAGGCTCCTCAGCGACGCCGACTCCAGGGCTCCTGCACCCGTATGATGGCAACACCACCTCCACAGCACAGAGGAACCTGAGGCTCTGCCTCTGCACAGGCACTGGGAGAGCCCCGTCCTCCGGTCCGGAGAGCTCCTGCATCTGAGAGGGGGTGGATTCCAGTCCTTCTAGGGGTTCCTTATCTCTAAGAATCATACCCAAGGTTTTACCCCTACTAGGCAAGCTCCCCACCACTCAGCCCCGGCCCCATTGCCTAAAATTTCAATGGAGAAACAAAAAACTAAACCCCAGATACCAGCTAAGAGCTGGAGCATCCTAGAGCTTCAAAAACAAGTGAGACTTGCTAAGGAATGCTACTTTAGGCAACCAAGTCTTACTGAACACACAAACACTGGGGAAACTATGGACTCTATCAGCCAGTGAACTGGGATGAACTTTGCTAACTCTCATCTGTCCTCACCATAGCTGGTGCCTGATATACCCTTCTACAAAGCCCTGTTCTATCCTCCCCAGTGTCTAGGATTCTAATGTGGAAGGAGAGACTCAAAGAACACACAAGGTTTACCTTGATGATCCTTTTTGACCATCCATTGAAGCCGAAGTAGTAATTTGCCAGCTCTTGGCAACGTGAGCTGTTTAGCGCAAAGGCCCGATGTCGCAGTGCCTTGTGTCTGGTGCTGAGACGAACCTGCAGTCAGGAGAGACCCGCACATGTCACAGCCTGCCAGATTTGGAGACACTTGAGGCCAATCATATCCAATTCCTTTAAGTGACAGTGAAGACCAGGTGGACGGAAGGATGTCCTAAGCCCTGATCATTGTGAGCCCCAAACACACGCTATCTGTCCATCTAAGCCCTCCCATCAACAAGTCGATTAGCACCCAGCTGAAACTTAGGTAACACAGGGGTATGGAATAGAAACCATTTAAAGAGCCAGAAAACAGGGTGGAGGGCTGTGAAGTGCCACTCCCTAGACTCAAGACAAGTACAGTAATCGATGCATGTCAACTGTAGCTGCCTCCCTGGGCCCACACAACACCAGTCCTATCAATAGTCAAGGATGGGCTAGAGGAGCACCACCCTTCACCTCTGAACGTCTGGCTTCAGTGAGAAGGGAATCACAGTCCCCAGCTGTGTACCCACTACTGAGACCACCAGGCTCAGGGGACAGCTCCAAACCCACAGACACAAAGATGCCCTGGCTAATCTTGTTAGGTAACAAGGCAAACAGACATGGTCATGTGAGAGAGATCTGTGAGGAGGAGAGAGAATGCACAGGAGTGATAGGGAGGCAGAAGGTGTGGTCAGTCTGCAAAGAATACATACCCGAGCTTGCTTTAAAAATGAATACATAAAAGGCCGTACACATTTCAGGGACTAATCAATATCTTAGTTTTCTCATTCCCAGACCCAGGTGTAATCCCTAACATCTAATAGAAGTTTGATGAGCTGCTGAATGAATGATTATAAGAACGAGTGACTGAAATTCCTTTTCTGATGTTGTCTGTTAGAAAGTAGAAACATGGTGGCCAATGTTTAAATGTCCATGTAGACAATCTTGGTGAACAACCTAGTTCTGTTGGGGACAGATGTGTTTACATGCCTGCAACCCCAGCACTTAGAAAGCAGAGACATAAAAATGAGGATGTCAGGATGGAGAGATGGTTCAGCACTCACATGGCTGTCTGTAACTCCAGTTCCAGGGGATCTGACACTTTCACACAGATATATATGTAGGCAAAACACCAATGCACATAAAATAAAAGTGAATAAATCATAAAAAATAATTAGGATATCACTGGGCCATGTGCCCCCACGTCTTTAAACCCAGCACTCAGGAGGCAGAGGTAGGCAGATTTCTGTGAGTTTGAGGTCAACCAGGTTAAAAAAAAAAACCAAAAACCAAAATTAGGATGTCACTGGGTATGACAGCAAACGCCTTTGATCCCATTTGGGAGGCAGAGGCAGGGAGATCTCTGAATACAAGGCCAGCCTATCCTATATAATGAGTTCTGGGACAGTCAGGGAGATGTAGAGAAAAACCCTGTCTCAAGACAAACAAATAAAAAGAAACAGAAGGTTAATTAACATTACCCCTAACTAAATATGAAGCATGCAGGCCAGGCTGGGATACATGAAGTGTTTTAATGAAAAAAAAAAAAAAAAAAAAAAAAAAAAAGAGGCTTTTTTTTTTTTAGCACGCATGAAAACCTAAAAATCTATCTTAATGCAACACATCTGTCATCCCAGAAATCAGGTGGAGGCAGGAAGATCAGAAGGCAGAACATAGACAGCAAGTACAAAGCCAACCTGGCCTACCTAAGACCTGTCTCAAAAAAACCCATAAACAAAGTGCTCTTGAATAGCCTTATAGCATACCTAGGTGTTACCTGGGGCAAATCTGCTACAGTTCTTGCTGGAGAATATTTTTCTTCATGCCTGCCCTGGCTAGGTTTTTTTGCTTTGCTTTTGTCTTTGTCTTTAGAGATAAGGTTTCTCTGTGTAGCCTTGGCTGTCCAAGAACTTGCTCTGTAGACCAAGTTGGCCTTGAATTTATAGACATCTGCCTGTCTCTGCCTCCAAGTGCTGGAATTAATGGCATGCACCACCTTTGCCTGGAGCATTTTCTTCTCCTTCCTTCCTTCTTCTTTTCTTTCTGTTATGTACTGGCTAGTTTAATGTGACCCTGACACTGGCTAGAGTCATTTCAAAGGAGGAAACCTCAACTGAAAAAATGCCTCCATAAGATCCAGCTGTAAGGTATTTTCTTAATTAGTGATTGACGATGTAGGGCTCAGGTTACTGTGGGTGGTTTCATCCCTGGGCTGGTAGTACTGGATTCTACAAGAAAGCAGGCTGAGCAAGCCATGAGGAGCAAGCACTCTTCCAAGGCTCCGCATCAGCCCCTGCCTCTAGTCTCCTGCCCTTAGTTCTGAGTTCTGTCCTAGCTTCCTTGAGGAACGAACAGTAATATGGAAGTGTAAACCAAATAAGCCCTTTCCTACCCAGCTTGCCTTAGGTTATGGTGTTTCTTCACAGTAGTAGTATCCCTATCTAAGACAATGGGGGGGGGGATTCTCAAGGTACCTTAGGCCTTTCCTTAATCTTATTTTATAACACACATAGAACATATGTGTGCCCAGCAAAGCAAACTATGCAAATAAACCTAATATGACCATTCTCACCTCTCAACAGAACCTTGAATTGGTTTTGGGCTTTTTTGTTTTGTTTTGTTTTTCTTGTTTGTTTTTTGGTTTTTGAGGCCGAGTTTCTCTGTGTAGCCTTAGCGGTCTTGGAACTTGATCTGTAAATCAGGCTGGCCTTGAATTCACAGAGATCCACCTTGCCCCCAAGTGCTGGGATTAAAGGCTTGTGCTACCACACCCTGCTCCTTGACTTTTTTTTTTAAACATTGAATGTTTCTTTTGCTTATTTTATGTGTGTGTATTTTGCCTGCACATATACCTGTGAATCACATGCATGCCTGGTGCCTAGGCCGGAAGGGGAAGTGGGATCTCTCTGGAACTGTAGTTACTGAAGTGACTGTGAACCATCATGTAAGTGCTGGAATTGAACTTGGGTCCTTTGAAGAGCAGGCAGTGCTTTTAACAACTGAGCCATTTCTCCAGCCCCACTATCTTTAATTGTTAAGATTTCCTTCACCACTCTATCGAAAACTAGTTTATGAAATGGTCTCATTGTCCCAAGAGCACTGGAAACTAACTGCTTTGTAATCTTCCCAGTACCACATACAATATCCAGATGACTGAGAAATGGTCACAGGTTAAAAACATACAAAGTCCAATAATTAAAAAGATGATTGACAGGCAATCACTTCACTGCTTGGCTGAGGCTCTGGGCAAGTTAAATGGGTTTGCTGTTAATAAGGAATGGAGTCTGTAATGTGCTAAAGGATGCTTTGCCCACCTTCTGGGAGGGATGTTCTGGATAGACTGGGAACGATGACAATAAAGCACCAGTCATGTTACAACTACCGATTTATAAAGCACACCTTTCAAAATCCAAATAAAACAGAAAATGCTTATGAATATTCTTAAATTTAAAGGCAACATAATGACTTGAGATTTTCATCGTTACGCTTGGGTTTGATTAGTTACTGTCACCAGCCATCCCGAGTTGGAGTTTCTTTATCTAGGAATGTCTGGAACCAGAGGCTCAGTGAAAATGTACTCGGAAGCACGGTGTAAGTCAGAGAGGCGCACAGAAGCGCCAGACCCTGCATTTGCACCCACCTTCACTGGTGATGTCTGAAAAAGAGGCTTCCCGTCGCATGCCTTTTGGGCTCTCTGCGCGTCTCTCGATGAGTAAAATTTGATGACGGCGTAGAAACCAGGGCGTGCCACTGCAGCGTTCGGGAAGACTCGGACTGAATACAGAAGGCCAAACTGGGAGAACACTGTAGACAGAGAATGCTGTGGGAGGCCCACGACCTGAGTACGGATCTCCAGCTCCACGACAAACCCAGTAAGGTCCCATGAGTACCCGCCATTCTCCACTCAGAGCACTCCTCCCTGCAGGAACGCGGACCTCCTCCCCCCAACCTCTCACACGGAGTACTCCTTTCTGCGGGAACAAAAATCTCCCCCGCATCCATCCTTCATCCCCACCGCGCAGCGCAGCCCTTACACTTAAGTCCTCGGCTTGGGGACCAGCACTCAGATCCCACACTAACAAAACTTTATCACTCTGGGTGGGAACCACGAAAGAAATCAACTCCGCCATGGCAAAGCCACTGCGTCTGCGCAAGAAACTACCGCGAAATTCGAACGGTGTTCCAAGCAAAGGGCGGAGCCAGATAGGACGGAGGCCAGCCTCCTATTTCCCTAAAACCCCCAGGGCAGGTATTTATGTCAACGATCCATCTACATAGCATTCATATATTCATTGACATATGGCATATCTCAACACTACACATAAACTAACTCCTTGCTACATAACTATTCTACACATTCTCTAGACCCGATAGGGCACAAAATAAATTTAGGTGACTGTATGTGAAATATATATGAAGTTACACAGTAATATATCGGCGGGACAGATTAGTGACAGTGAAGTAATTTTCAAAGCAGGTCCAATGCTACACAAAAGACAATGTCTCCAAATTTCTAAACCACAAACCTCCAGATCCCAATTGTATCTTTGAAGCTCATAATTGATACCTCATAGTCATTAAAATGAAACAGCAACCCCCAACTATACCTCAAAAACCACGCCATACCACACACTTCACTCCGTGTAAGTAAATTGGAACCACATTGGAAATGGCCAAAACTTGGAAAGCGGAAGACATGTTACTACTACCACACTTCATGTTACTGCTACCACACTTACAGACACGCGCCCGACGCCGACCCTCCTGCTTTATCCGCACCACGACTCTAACTCCACGGAAAGCCCTGAGAGCTGCGTGGGCCGAGGGCTTCTCGTTGCTCTCTTCGCTCCCAGAGTTCCCGGGGAGACGCGGCCGCGTCCTCATTTGCATACCACGCCCAGCGTGTTACGTCTCTGTCTCTGCGTTGCACAGCGCAGCAGCAGCGCCCACTTTTCCGGCCGGTTCCCTTCGCAAATTTTCAGAAACAAAATTGACAGTGCCCGTCACAAGAAGTACTCTCACTCTTCCTCCCGTCCCCTCTCATTTCCTTCCTCCCTCACTTTATATTTGGTCTTGAGAGTGTTGTTGAGTAGCGAGACCAATAATGGGCTTGGGTAGAGCTTCGATAGTAAGGATAACCCCCAGAGAATGCACACTTTGACCAGTTCAAGGTAGAGAAGGATCCTTGAGAGGGGCCCTTAGATTTCCAGCTTATTTTAGATATGTATCGCACAGTTTTTGCTTTGAGGCAGGGTCATCTTAATCTGTTGATTGGAAGAAGACCCAGGCTCGATTCCCAGCACCGATATGGTGACTCACAACTACTTGTAACTTCAGTCCCAGGGCAGCTAAAAGACACACGTATGGCACACACACACACAACAAACGCAGGAAAAACATTCATACACGTAAATAAATCTAAAAATAAAAAAAGACACAAGTAGTAAATAAAACAAGGCCTAGAAAGTCAACAAAGGCTGCGGAAGCCTACAGGAGTCACAAGGCCCTTCTCCCACCCAAACTTATGTGTGCCGTAACAATTACTGGGCAGTGGAGACTCTCCACTAGCTCAGCTGCCTGCGAGTTATTTCAGAGAGCTCTGATAATGCAGGTACAACAAGGCTGGGCTTTTTGGCGATGCAGCTGTCTTTTTGAGTCATCCACATTCTTGTAAGTAACCACCCATGCACAGGTAAGTAACCCCAACAAACTTTCTTTAGTGTCTCATCTAAATGCTTTCTCTGGGTTATAGAGAGCTTTGTTCACATCTCCCCAGAAAATGTCCGGCACCACTCTCTTAACTGCTGAGTCATCTCTCCAGCCACTACTTACGTAGTCATAAAGTTATAAAAGGCTTCCTCCCTCGCTCCAGAGCAGAATCAACAACCAAGTGGGGTTGTGAGCCACGGGATTAGATCCAGAGCCTTAGTAGGCTGGCCTCCCAGATGAAGACAAAGGCTAAGGAAAGGATGAAAGATTAGTTGGCCAAGTAAGACCCCATTTGCTGCCCGCGCGACCCGAGTACCAAGCTTGGTAGAGGGTGTCGGGATTGAAACACTTAACAGACCACTATGAAAAGTGAAGAGGAAGCTGCTGCCATTTATTACAGAGAGTAATGGGCTTATATACCCAAGGCAGGGGATGGGCTAAACATAGGAGGAAGTCATGCACCACACACACCTGGGGTCAAGGTATGGGCACTACACAGCATAAGGGAAAGTTCTGAAAACAACCTTGTTTGCTCAACCTTGTTTGCACGGAGCTGGGTGGGGAGGAAGAGAGCTGTAAGGGACAAATACTTAAATTTCCCAACAGTTTCTCCCTTTTTAGTTTTTAAATGAAGCGATACTTGGCTTAGGTTGCCTGGGGAACATGAGAAGGGCATGTCCTGGGTTTCAGGCATAAGAGTAAGGCTAATGGAGAGAAGTTTCAGGGCCAACTGATAAATTATCACTCCATCCACTCAACATCAGATCTAAATTATATCCTGTGTAAAGCATCCCTTGGGAGTCTCACAGCTGTGCATCCAATTTGAACCTAACGGGATGCAGTCAGATTTGAGGCTGGGCAGAGCTGGGGGAAGCTGAACAGCACCCATGTGACCCCAAGTGGGGGCTGGAGCTGCTGAGATACCCCATAGATGCTTGGAGAGAGCAATCTTGGGAATTTATCTCCCTTCCATTTTCTTCCATTTCCATTTTTGTCCACCCCCCAGCACCTCCCTAGCACCTCTAGTTGTCCGTGGGTGCATATTTTAAAAGGAAAACAAGCCCATGTGAATTTCCCACCAGCTTGTTAGGGTGGAGAACACCCCACCAGGCCAGAACTTGAGTTTCAGGACTTGGGTAAAAAGACTCAGCTCCACAGAGCAGTAAGCCAAGTGATGCAAGTATTCCCGTGACCCTGAACCCTTTGAATGAACCAGAAAGAAAGAGATGCCCAGAGGGCAAGAGGTTAGTAGGCTAGAAATGCCAGGCTCTTGATGAACCAGAGAAGGCAACTTGAAAATAATGAGCCCTCTGCCTCCCAGAGGCAACTTGTGCTATGTGAATGAAGAGATATTTTATAACCAAAGCCAAGAATCCTGTATTTGAAAATAAAAATTTGCCTGTTGCCCAGAGATGATGAGGTCAATGTCCCTTTGGGCCCTCTCTGCTCAGGGGCCGGCTCTGTGTGGGGCTTCTGTGGGGGCTTCATTGAGCTCCTGAAGGATGTAAAGCCAAGCTGATTCTTGAAATGCCCAGTTAAACTTGTCTTTCCCTCTTAGAGTTAGCTAGGAATTTTAAGTCCCCCAGCTACTCCCCCGGCATCCTCATGGAAACTCTCTTCCCTGTTGGAAGGGTCTGGGTCTCGTCACTTCTGGATCACATTTTTCTCTTGTGTGGCATTAAGAGACCTGTGCATATCCCTCAGCTTTCCCCTGCATTCTCTACCTGGGCTATGCAACAAGACTACCTGTCTCAACGGTGGCTTCCGTAGCCAGAAAAAGTCTTCCCAGAAAACAGAAGAGGGAATTTGAGTTCTCTTTCCCCCACCTTCTCAGTTACAGCTCCAAGACTCAAGCTTATGTGACTATCGTGTCCCTGTAAGCACCTGCGCTGTAGATACCAAAAGGAAGCTTCTTAGGAGAAACACTGGACAATTAATTACTGATCGTGTCATCTTTTTTTTTTTTTTCTCAGTCTCTCCCAAGGTGCATCTTGGGGCCTCATCGGGATACCACCCAGAGCTTGGTCCATAACCACAAAGAGCAAAGTCATCCCAGACCTGACGGGATTTAAAGGCACCTCACTGCAGAATGCAGAATCCGCTTTGTAAGCATCAGTCAGAATCATGAACGTTTCTCAAGAGTCAGTTTCCTTGGTGTTGATTTGCCACAGAAGAGAGGGGATGGGCATTTGGACCAGCTCCATAGCCTTCCTGCCTTTAACTCCAGCAGCTGTGTCCCCCTAAAACAAAAAAGGGGTCTAGGCGAAGTCCTTTGGTTTCTGACCACAGATAGTGACTTTTACAGTTGCAAATGTCTTCCATCACGTGGACCGTTTCAGCAGAGAAGAAGAGTACACTGCCTGCACTTCTCTGTGAGTGAGGGCTGTGGCAGAAGGACTTTCCCATTTCCTGTCTACTCTAGTATTGTTAATTTCCTTCTCAGGTCTTGATGAGGTTGAAGATTAAACTATCACAACTATTATTCTCTCTTCCTAGTTAGATATATTAGGTACTAGACTTACGTTTTCCAGCTTAGGACAACTTTATTGTAAACTCCATTATGCCCTCACCCTAGGACTAGATATGTAGGTCATTTTGTTCTCGATTTTCCTTTTCTTAGAGCACACTTGTTATTCACTGTTTTGTATATAGTTTTGTATTAAGCCTAAATCTTTTCTTTAGACTAAAAGGGGAATTATAGTGAGATAGTCCTTCTGTGGCACTGACCACGCCCACTGGGGGGTGGAGCCATGGGTGGAGTGACTTGTGGAAGGAGGTCGGAGGGAGAGCAAGGAAAAGCTCTCTTGCTGGTGTGACTTGGACAGGAGAGGATCGGGTTGAATTTCCTGGTGTTCATCTGTCTAGGTTGTAAGTTATTTCTCCCTGAATAAACATCTATTTGGCCTATTTGTTTATCCTGATCCTTATTTAACCGCGTTAGGTGCTTACTGTAAGAATTCAGGCATCACACTGGCCTGCCCCTGTCACCTGGCAGAATGCACTCAGGCAGCACCCTGGTCAGCCCAGGGTTCCATTGAAGTGCAAAGGACCCCTATAAGAGAAAGACCCTGCCCACTTAACGGTCTTTTCGCCTGCTCATCTCTTTCTGTGCTCCTCTCTTTCCTGACCATTTCCTCTCTCTCTCTCTCTCTCTGCCTCTGTGTCTCTACCTCTTTTCCCTTCCCTTTCCCTTTCCATCACGCTCCCAGTTGGCCAACACTTACCCCTCCGTTTGCTCCTTTTCCCAATAAACTCCATGTGGGTTTGTTGAGTTTTGTGGTTCATGTTTCATCACTCGCAGCAGCTACAGCAAAACAACACTTACCCTGCACGCTGGTAGTTTAAAACTAGGCCCACAAATTCTATGACTTTTTCAAAAAGTGGCGTTAGCAGCCCCTTCCCTTGGATGTGGGAACTTCAGAATCGAGGACAACTGGCTCAGGCATATGCTTACAAGCA